TCTTTTCAAAGAACCAGCTCTTGGTTTTATTAACTTTTTCTATTGTTTTTTTAGTCTCTATTTCATTTGGGGGAAGTCTTTATCCTAGGCTACAGCAACAGCGGGAATCCTCATAAGACCACACCTTGACCGCAGGGAACGCTGGATCTTTTTGCAGGGCAGAATTGATTTTGGGGGCATAAGGTGAGCAATATGATAGGCAGAGGTGGTAAAGGCTAGTTGATGAATGCTGGAGAGGACTCAGGAGTAGGAGCCCAATCTCTGCCCTGCTGGGCTCTTTCCAGGTCCTCAGAGGCGGGATGGGGTTCCTCCCCCCACCACCACTGTCTCCCCAGTGATGTAGCTGGCATCCTCAGAGCACAGGAAAGACACGATGCCTGCACAGTCCTCTGGCTTGCCTAACCTGGGGAAGAGAAGAAACAAGGAAGAGAGTAAAAATCAAACAGGCCAGGCCCCATGACCTGCCCCACAGGGAATGAAATTTGTTTAACCAAAGAGTATCATGATTTTTCAGGACCAGGGTACAAGCTTCCTGTCCATCAAATAGGGTTACCATGAAGAGAAGCTTTTAGAGTAAATAATGCATGAATACTGTATTCTGCAAAAACCACTACATGTTATATTAAAAAAATATAGAGACACTTTGTTTTTTAGAGAACTCAGGACCCCCAAACCCAAAGTTATATAAACTGGTGAGCAGCTATTTCATACTTCAAAGATTTGTTTCACATGTGTGCATACTAGTCAAGCATCAGGGAGTCTGTAAGACAGTAAATGGTTTGTTGAAAATGATTCCATTTGTACAGCTTCAATTCACAAACAACTTTTTCAGGAATCTATTTTTGTCCCTTAAAGTCAGGTTCATTTTGTGAGAATGTGCTAATTCTCAGTGTTTGTATCAGTGATTGCATGGTTAGGGAACTCTTCAATCTAAGAGCCATAAAATGCTGCGGCGGTGGGTGGAGTGAGTACCTTAGACCTAGAAGGCCCGCATCAGTGGCTCTGCATCCTAGCTGCACATTGTAATCGTGGGAGGCTTAACTTCGTCCACTCCCCCCCGCCACCCCCAGCTGCCAAAAAAAGATGTCCGGGTCCTACCTTGAACCAATTAAGAAAGAATCTCTGGGAGTGGGGTCTGAGCATCTGTAGTTTCACAGGCACCTCAGCTGATTAGAATGTGCATCCAAGATTGAGAAGCTCGGGTCTGGGTCATTCACTGCGGCTCCAGGATGACAAGACTCTGACTTATTAGTGAGTTGTGAACTAGGCCTGCAGCTCATGCCTGACATCAGAATGGCTTTGGGAACGCTGGAGGGAGTCTGGGATGTTTGGACTGGTAAAGAGGAGGCATTGCTGGCATGTGTCCTTGAGGGGACAATGTAGAGAAGCTAAAAACAAGAGAGTTCCCAGAAGCCAGAAGCTGGAGAGAGGCAGGGAACTTAGAGGAAAAGGAGCCAGATGAAGGTGCCTGAACAGTTGGGCCAGCCCTTCGGGGAAGAGGCTAGTTTTTCTAGGTAAGGGGAGTGTTGGGACTTAGTGAAGCTCTTCATTCCTTTTACTTGGATTGTAGGATCACCAATCTGAGCTTTGGAAACATGACTCTTCTTATTCAAGGGGAACTAAAGAAGCATGGTTTTGGTTTTGGTCCCTGGTGGAGATGCCCAGAGGTGGAGGCCCAGGTGGAGTCAGGGCCTCTCCCAGAGCAATGCTCTGCTGAAGCCCAGATGCCTCCGTTTGGTTTTCTGCAATGGAAGCAGACTCCTTGCACACACACTCTAGTGATGCAGTGTTCATGAACTTGTGAGGCAGAGGAGAGCATGCCCATGTTGTCTGTGGACCAAGAGACAGTGAGCTGGGGGCTGTGTGAGGGACCAGACCCTTTGTCTTTATCCCTCCTAACCGTCCTCTGTGACAGCCTTACCTGCTTATCTGTAAGGTTTTTTTAATTTCTTTGTCCATCCACAACTGCAGGAAAAAGGGAAATATCTTTATGTGGAAGAAGAGGAAACAGAGGGACAGAGCGGGGAGACTGCCCACCCTCACATCCATCAAGAGGCAGGACAGAGAGACGACCCCTTTCCCTTCCCAGTCCTTCCTAGCTCCCAGTCTTTCCTCACCACCCTCTTCTGTTTCATTCTTTTCAGGCTCTAGTGAGGCAGTTCACTGGGCCTCCCTGATTCTCACCCACTTAAGGAACTATGAAACAGCGTGAGTAGAGTCTAAATTCCTTAGTAGTGTGTGTGGGTCTGGTCTGGATAGGTGGCTGGTATGGAGTGGGAACATGGAAAAGCCCGGGGGCGGGGGGCGGAAGTGGTTCAGAGCACAGGATCTAGGCGCTGGGCTCCTCCATGCAGGAAGATCCCCAGGGGGATGCAGGACTCCCCTTCTTCACCTTTTGGCTGGAGGCAGTCTTGATGAGTCCGGGCGCCAGGCAGTTCACCCTAATGTTCCTTTTGGCCAGCTCTAAGGCCAGGCTCTTGGTAAGGCCCACTAAGGCTGTTTTACTAACACTGTAAGGGCCCAGGTCCTGGGGAAGGAGAGAATGGGTTAGTCTCTTTGTTTCCAGTTTATTCTTGGTTTTATCATAGGACATAAAGGGCAGTAGATACTAGGGCATCTCCTGGAAGGAAGGGTCCCAGTTAGAAGACTGTCTTGTGGCTAAACCTCCTCTAGGTTGGGGTTCATGGAGGCAAGGCATCTCTTTTGTGGGAAGAGACTTGGTGTGACTCCAAAAGGGGACAGAAACTTCTTAGGGTGGCTGGAGGGGTAGAAGGATGTAGGATGGAAGAAGGGATGGAAGTAGCAGAGAAGGGTTCTTACGGGAAGCGGAATGTAGGCTGCTACGGAGGACACAATCACCACTGAGCCGCCTCTGGAAAAAGAAGAGAATGACCCTCTTCCCAGCGGAGACCCCTGCCCTCAGCCCGCGTGCGGCCATCACCCCCAGGCTCCCTCTCAGGCTCTGTACCCTCGTTTCTCCATCTCTGGCACCACTGCCTTTGTCAGCAGGGCTGAGGCCTTCACATTAACGTCCAGAACCTGAAATTGAGAGAAGGGGAAACTGCGTGAGGGAAGGGAGCTGGAGGAAGAGGGCAATGAGGAGTTATAGTGGGGTTCCTGGGATCTGTTTGTTAGGGCTGGTGGAGATCCTAGAGACGATTTACCTGGACGCTACACAGGAAGAGACCAAGGCCCAGGGAGAAGTGTCTTTCACTGGCTGATTCAGCTAGAGATTGACATATTAGGTTTGGTGAGAAAGAATGGAGCCTGGTTCATCTTTCCTAATCAGCCAAGTAGGATTGGCCCAGAATGGACCTAAACTCTCAGGGCTGTTTTGGATTTGAGCTGGATTTTCTGTGTTTCCTCCAACTAGGGAGAGCCTGGAAGTGGGTCAGCATCGTGGACCTGCCTGAGTGGCCGTGCTTCTCAGGGAACATGGGGCCCCACCTGGAGCACCTGGGCTTGTTCCAGCACTTCTCTGCCTTCTGAGCTTAGGGAGTGAGATGCTCTTGGCCCTCCAGGATGGAGTGTCTGGCTGGACATTTATTGGACAGTGGGATCATGAGGAGGCACTTTCTGGGGAAGCCGGGGCATAGGCTACAATCAAAACCCCACACCCATAATTTAAAACAGACGCATGACCTTTGTTTACATGGTTCTAGGTGCTGTTGGATGGTCCCCCCCCAGGCCCCCCAGGCTAGCTTCTTATTCTGAAAAATTTCAATCTACAGAAAAGTTGAAATAGAAGTACAGTGACTACCCAGATCTGCTGTACCTGGATTCACCAATTGTTCACACTTTGTCCCATTTGCTCTGTGAATCTACACACCTTTTTCCTGAACCGTTGAAGGTAAGTTGCAGATGTCATAATGCTCTAGCCCTAAATACTTTAGCATTATTTCCAAAGAATAAGGACGTTTTGATACACCACAATCCATTATCACACCCAAGAAATTTAACAGTGATAATAATGATTTTACCTAATATGCTGTCCATAATAGAATTTCCTCAGTTGTCCCCCAAATGTCCCTATTTTAAAAATCCAGGGTCCAATGAAGGATCAACCATCGCATTTAGATTTGATGTACTGTGATGTTTAAAAAAAATGCAAACTAAAAAGAAAAATTACTTGGTTTAAAACTGATTTTCATGTGGCCTCTATTCAGACTGCTCATGAAAGATGTTTCTCTCCTTTAAAGAATATCAATCAGGAAGTGACTCACTGAAGGGCTTTTGCACTTTGATCTTTATGTCTGTGAAACACTGATAAATAAACTCTAATATTCTAGTATCCTTAAACTTCAGTGTTGAGAAGTTATTGATGACATCAGAGTAAAAAGCAAAACCATGGGAGGTCATAAAAAATTTAGCATTTCCAAATCATGGAGGAATAGTAACCTTAGTAAACAAAGACAAATATTTTAATTAAGGCTTTATAATTAAAAGATCTTGGTGTGTGAAATATATTACAAATATAAGGTAATTATACACGCTCACATAAAAACCAGTATTCCACACTTGAACTTAGACATCATGAGCTCAGATTTCCTTGACACCGCAGTAAGAGGAGGAGAGCACAGGCCTTTTTCAAACCCTGTATCATATAAAGCGGCAACTTTGGTGATTTCACCAGAATTGGTATTTCACTGAACTAGCAGCTACTACAGTTTTCCGACTAATGAGAAATCATTCTTTTTTGGCAGCTGAAAAGAGGATGGGTGGTGTGTATATTTAAGTGTATTAGTTATTGGCCTATTAGCTGCCATGTCTCTGCTGGAAATAAACCAGGAAGAAGAGCCTGGATAAGCACCTACCGGGAGAGAGGTGGGGGAGGGAAGCAGAAGAAGGCTAGCAAGGAGCAAACGGAAGAAGACAAAAGTGAGGAGCAGCAGAAACGAAAGAGAAGGGCAGGGACAGAGGAAGCTACCTCCCACTCGCCCTTTAGCAGGTGCACTCCAGGTGTGGGGCACATCGTGAGGATTCGTCACATGGATATTGCACTTGACAAACACATTCTAAAAGCGGACCGAGTATGTGCTGTTTTCTGAGGCCCACCTCCTGCTGCTTTAATCCCCTCTCACCTTGTCCCACATCTCTTCGGTGACATCCATTATATCTCCAAAGAAAGGGCTGACAGCAGCATTGGAGACCAGGATGTCAATGCCCCCATGAAGGTTCACAGCCTGGAGAGAAGAAGGTCTGAAATGAGGGCTGCGGGTCAGGAAGCGGGGTGCATTTCCCAATGTTGATAAAGCAGTCATTAGGAACAAAATGATGTCAAAATGACAGCTCTTTCTCTCGAAATATTTCTCTCCAAAGCTACCCTAAGCTCTGCTGCTAAACATCTAAGGCTGTCTAATTTCATTTGCAGTCTCTTCTTCCTGCCCCCACTTCTTCTAAGGCTGTCACCAGTCCTTTGCTCTTGATACTTTCCCCTTGGGGAGCTCCTTCATTCCCACGGCTTCAGCTCTCACCTCAAAACCCATTTCTAGATCCTCCCTCTTTTCACACCAAGTCTCTGCCCCATTTCTCCGAGTGCTTACTATCCAGTTCTCCTTGGGTGAGTTACCATGATATCCAAGTCAGTCTGTCCACACGTACCTGCATGGGAGAAACCACTTTAAAAAGACTCAGAGGAAGTTATCACTGGGAGTGGCCTTTGAGGCCATCTAGCCCAATGTCCTCATGGAGAAGCTGATGAAACTGAGGTCCAGGGAAGTTAATTGCTCAAGGTCATGTGCTCAGTAACAACATACCAGGGCTGGCTAAGAACAGGAAGCCTGCTCATTGGGTCTTTGGGAGAGGTGAAGTGATCTGCTCAGGGCACAGAGCTGGTTCGTGGTGGCAGAACTGATGTCGGTCTCCTACTTTGTAATGCAGAGCTAATTCACAAGAGTTCTCTGAAAGTAAGTCGGGGTCACTATGAAACTGGCTCCCCAGGAGAACCATGACGGAGAGGACACCAGCCTGGGCTTGAAGCAGTCCCACCCTTGATCAGGATGTCATTTTCTCCCCCTCCCCCCTTTTCTTTGGCCTGGAGGCATGGAAGATTCAAGGGAGAAACTGAGATTTAAGCCGGGAAAACCAAGAACGGTAATATCTTACCTCCTTAATCAATTGTAGGTAGGTGGCACAGGCGTGTCCTGGGGTGGCCAAATGAGTGGCCAAACAGAATGCGCCAATAGTACACCCCCCTGAAACTCGACTTTGCCTTTGCCCAGAACTGGCAATTTCGATGCCTTGGGCAAGCGGCACTAAATGGGCCCTCCATCAACTTTGAGTTTCACGATTTGGCGCACAGAGGGGTGTTATTAACAATGTGCACCATCTGCCAGCTCCTGTTTTAACTAATTATTCTCGCTAAGTAGGTGCTAAGCTCAGTTGTGTCTACACTGCTGAAGGAATGCCTGGCCTGTCGACATGTAAATTTAATAAAATTTAAAATCACATAACCTTTTCAAACCTGTATAAATACTTCCTTGCACTCTCTACATTTTGGTGTCCTGGCACAGAGCGCCGGTCCCTGCCTTGGCTCTGTGTAAGTCTCGCCTGTGCCCTTGTGACTAGGAAAATGCAGCAGACGTTAGAAAGTGCCTGTGCTGTGCTCTGTGTGTGTGTGTTTGGAGGTGGGGAGAACACAGTGGAATGCATCAGAATTTCACTTCTGCAGGGCCAGCCCTGTGGCTTGGCGGTTAAGTACGCGCGTTCCGCTACTGGCGGCCCGGGTTCGGATCCCCAGCACACCGCTTGTCTGGCCATGCTGAGGCCGTGTCCCACATACAGCAACTAGCAGGATGTGCAACTACGACATACAACTATCTACTGGGGCTTTGGGGAAAAAAAGGAGGATTGGCAATAGATGTTAGCTCAGGGCCGGTCTTCCTCAGCAAAAAGAGGAGGATTGGCATGGATGTTAGCTCAGGGCTGATCTTCCTCACACACACACAAAAAAATTATAGAATTTCGCTTCTGCTGTACAGCCCATGGCCTCTCCTTCTGGGCCTATCAGCATGGAGAGGGGAGAAGGCTGGGTTTTGACTGAAGAGAGACAGAGAACGGTAGAAGATGAATGACAAAGATATTAGTGACCACCCAGGAGTTTTCTAAGTCTGGCTCTAAATTGTGTGATCACTACACGGAAGTGGTTAAGAGTTCTTGCTCTGTCTTCCGATAGATATTTTAAAGAAAAAGTATCATCAGGTGGAGAAGCAGCTAATCTGGTTTCTGCTCATCACGCCTTTGAGAAGCTCTGAGGCCACGGGGTGGTAACATCCTTAGGGCAGCAGCTCCTCACAGGGGAACAGATGGCAGTAGGTGGAACACATCTCAAATTGCAGCAAGGATCCTATGATTCTCCTCCCAACATCGGTCACACAAACTACCTGAGAGGCGTTTTGACTTATCCTTCCTAGTTCCCATTTCCTGACAGCAAGTTAGAAAAAAAAAAATCTTGGTTAGTTCCCACTACATGTCTCTTGGGACATCCATTCTGGTCCTACCACCACTGCTCTAGACCTGAATGACAGCGACAAATTCCTCAATGACATCCTTGGGTGGGAGTCTTCTCTACTCCAATATATCCTTCCTACTAGTGCCAGGTTATCTTTCTTTAATAACCATTTTCATCTTGCTCAAAACCTCCCATGACTTATTTCCTCCAAGAACATCTAACTCCTCTGGGAGGCCATGGAGGCCGCTGTCCCTATCCTTCCCACCAGCCACTTCCCACTAGCACTCCTGAGCCTCTGCTCTCTGCTGTGGATTCACGGTGCTCGCCTTGCCCCTTCAGTCCCTCCTTGACTGTCTGCTCATTCTGCAGGGTTGTCTGGAACCCCGTCCCTACTCCATCTGGCCAGTCCGCCCTCTCCTCAAGGTCTCACTCAAGCCCCATTTCTGGGCCAGGACTGCAGGATGGGTGAAGTGGACCTGGGAGAGGTGAGAGTCGTTTTCCTGGCAGGATTTTGATATTAAGTTGCTACATACATTTCATACGGTGAATGAATGGGCCAATAGTTACTAATTGGCCCAGGATCCCAGAGGGCTTCCTTCACCCTCAGGATAAGGTCCCAGTCTCAGGCTCTGTCCAGCAGCCTGTACCAAGCCAGGTGACTTTCCTGGACCCACATTTGGCTCTTTCCAATACACATTTCAGCACTTGCCAAACGGTTCCTTAAAAATGGAATAACCTTACACAGTCTATCATAGCACTGTTTACCATTATTGAAGGAGATCTTTTCTACGAAGATTACCCAAATTATTTCTGCCAGCCCTCCAATCTGTTAGCACAATCCCTTACTTTCCACTCTGGGGTAGATTCTCCCTTCCACTCCAGGGAATAAGATGCGTGCCGTGAGCCTGAGGGAAGAGTAGCCTCCTTTGCTGGATGTTCATATTTTCTTGTGCAGCCAGAAGGCTGGTGCCAAGTACGAACCCTGAGACTGCCTTAGACACTTTCTTTGAGACTGAAGTCCAAGTGGGAACCTCAGGCCGACTGACCCGACACCAGGGGGGAAACGCCTGCTGCTTTGTAGGCGGCTTGGCAAGTCTGGGTTGACTCCCAGCTCTCTCGTTACTAGCTGTGGGACTTTGGAATGTTGTTCCAGCTTTCTGAACCAGTCTCTGTAAACAGGGAGAGCAGTCTTTGCCTTGCTTGGCTGGTTGTCAGGTTTACAGATAACCCATGTAGGGCTCTGAGCAAAGTGAATGGCACATAGTAGGTGACTGAAACACAGTGGGCTGCCTCCTGTAGGTTCCCAGGGACTGGACTCCATAAGCGGAACAGGGGACTGATTGTTGACTAGCATATGGGTGGGAACATCTATATTGTGAGTGTATTTACTCTTCTCATCTGCCCAAATAGGTTGGAAACTGCTGGAGAACCAGGACCAGCCCAAAGGGATGATGCAAGGTTGGGGCATTAGAGTGGTTTTTGTTTCTCTGACTGGGATGGGATGATTCTCAGAGACATAACAGAAAGGCATACAATAAAAAGGTGCTGGTGGGTTGGTGCCAGCACACAGACGCACTGTTGTGTGTTAGTTAATAGTGTTGGCTTGGAGCACACCCATGTTGTCCAGAAAAGGAGGGAAGGAGGCTCTGGCTGGCTCCCTTCTGCCACCTCCTGCCTCTGTGCCCATATCCTTGCTGCTCACCGTGGCCACAAGCCGCTCCCGGTCCTCAGACTTCCTCACATGGCACACAGTGCCCGTCACACTCAGCCCCTCCCCCTGCAGCGCTGCCACCGCTCGGTCCACGTTCTGCTGCTTCCGGCTGCTGACCACCACATGGGCCCCGTCCTGGGCCAGCCGCCGGGCGATGGCGAAGCCAATCCTGCGGGCAGAGAGAGACAAGGACCGTCAAGCCTGGTACAGGGGAAGATGGTGAGAGCATGGGCTCTGGAGTCAGACTGCCTGCATCTGAATTCCAGCTCTCCCTCTGAATAACCTCCATGGGTTTGTATTATATGTTAAATAGGGTTAGTGGTACAGACATTACCTTACAGATGGACAAGCTTAGTACATTTTTGGCACTCATTTACTTACTTTTCTTATGGCTTTGGCCCTCAGGCTAGGTTCCTGGGAAGTGACATCACCTTCCACAGGCCCCACCACAGGTAGAGGCCCCATCCCCTGTAGGGACTGAGGGGAGAGAAATGAGCTGGGGGTGTAGCAGCAGCCACCTCCATGATTGCAGGTCTTACTCAAAAGAGCCCCTGCCCCCAAATATCTTCCTTACAAGTCTACAGCAGCTCAAAATTCTACTAAGTTACGTTTTGGGGTGCAGGTGAACCAGTGGGTCTCTGGTTAACATGGTAAATTCTTTACATTACTCCCCTGGGAGTAAAGGTTACACATTTGGCAATTGTCAGCCATTAGCATTTTGTATACATCTGCATTTTAGATGTGTGAAGAGCTGGCATCTAGCAAAGACCAGCTGTGGGAAAGAGAAACAGGATAGCCAAGAGTGGTGGGTGAGAAAGGCTGGACAAGGGGGGCCAAAACTACTGAGCTAAACAAGAATCTGGACACGTGGGTCGTGGGTCTCGTCTAGGTAAGGGGTGCCGTTCTGCAAGACTTGTGGGGGTGCTGAAATGGAGTGTTTGGAATATTTCCATAATCGATGGAGGCAGTGGGATAGGATTTTTGAAATTTGTACTGTCTTGGATTTCTGGCGTCTGGTCCTCCCAGACTCTGGGTAGGGCCGGTTGATTGGGGCAGCCCAGAGCACGAGGAGACTGGACTGCTGGAGGCATCACTGAGGTGGCGCAGCTGAACCAGAGGAGGCAGTGACCAGCAAGTGGCAATGGTGGGGTCAGGGTCAGAGGATTCGGAGGGGCTGCAGGTCCCCACCGAGTTCCTTTCTTCCGGGGCTGCGTGTGAGGCCTGAGGACACGGGCCCGGGAGGCAAAGGACAAGGTTAGTACCTGTTTCTAGACAGCGCGGGCCTCAGAGACTCCGGCCCGGGGAACTCACCCGTCGGTGGAGGCCGTCACCAGGGCCACCTTATTCGCCAGCGGGTCCCGGCGCGCCACCCCGGAGCTAGCCATGTGCACCGACTTCCACACCCGGGCACAGCCACCCAGCAGCAACTCCCCCACCTTTCGCATGACACAGGCTTCTGCGCCGCAGGACGTTCAGACAGGGGAGGGGCAGGGTGAGGGACGGGCCGCCCCGCGTCCCGCCCCGCGTCCCGCCCCGTGTCCCGCCGGCCCTGGAGCGGACGGCTGGTCCCGCTTGGCGCCGGCCCTTGGCGCGGGGACCGGCTGTGGCCGCGGGCGCCCCCTGCGGGCGCACAGCCGCCGCGCCCCGCTGTCCTCTGCTCCGCCCTGGCAGATGTGGGACAGCCCTGCCCCTCCAGATTTCCCGCAGGGCCCGCCCCGCTGTAGGAACCCGTAGACTTCCCCGCCCCCTCCTTCTACATCTGCTGGCCCGCGTCGTTTGTCTGGGGGGAGAGGGAGCTTTGAGTTGGTTGCTTTTGCTTCCCAGAACCTCAAGATGGACCTCCTTCTCCAAGGAAGTCTAGGTCTACATATGTGACAGCCCACAGGAGGGCAAATGTTTTGAGATTGCCCCTGGAGGTGAGGGCTGTGGTCCCCACCGAGTTACCACGTGAGGGTTTCGGGTGAGGGAGGAGGAGCCTGGGAGCCAGACGTGCTTGGGAGCAGCTGGGCTAGGCCTGGCACCACCCTTCGCTCTGGCTCCAGGTCTCCTCCATCCTCCCAAGACTGGAGGGCAGACTCTGACCACGTGTAACCGGTGTGCAGGCACAAATATCCTGCCTGGACAGGACCTCTTATACCCTCCACCCCAAGAGGACTTCCGCATTTTACAGGGCCCAAGAGGTGGCAAGGAGGCTGGAAGGTCCCCCAACCCGAGGTGCAAACACTGAGAGCTCAGGAGCACTCAGTTCTCCATAATCACTGTGTCCCCGGATCTTAGCCTCCACCCTAGTTCAATAAATATTTGCTGAATGTAAAAGCACTTTATAAACTGCAAACTACTAAACACATAGTGATTACTGCACAGTAAACGCAGGATTACTGAACCAGTAAACGGAGGATGCTGAAGTCCATGATGGATAAAGTCCTCTCCAGCTATAAATTCTGTGTCTAAGACTTCGGCCTTCACTTCTGCCAAGCGGGTTGAAATGATCTCCCTCCTGGGTTTCTGGGAGAATTAATAAAGAATTAATAAATCTGGATGGCTTATGGTACACTGTAGAAAGGCCCCCACAGACCCAAGTGCCAGTGTCTGAATTGGTTTAACCCAGTGGCCTCCCAGATGCCAGACTGAGAAGGAGTGCTGGTCGATGACAAAGTTTTCACTAGTTCAAGGCAAAAATGAGAAAAATAAAGACAATATGATGAGTTTCATAAAGCTAAGCTTATTAAATGTAACAGACAGTCCTTTATTCTGAGATATGCTTTTGCCTTTTTTTTTTCCAGTGTTAGTCTTTTGTTAATAAAAGATAATGAAAGCAGATGGGTAGATTGAGAAAAGTGTTGTTAGTTGGTGAAATCGCCAGTTTGGCAACCTTATGTCAGTCCCTACAGAATCCTGGTCTGTGAAATTCAGTTATGGGGATCGCTCTTTAATAGAATTCATACTTGCTAAAGATTCATTTAGTATTTGTGTAGGTCAGTTGAGCAGCTAAAAAAGGAATTCAGGATTCAAAAGGGGGTACATGGGCAGCAATTGATGTAAAAAGCGTGCACTGGATTTATAGTATATTCCACCACCGAGAAGTTACAGCTTCGGGACTCAGCTCGGTCCTCAGCACATCCCCATGAGATAAGAGGGCTTAAGTCTGATTTTCCCCATGTCCGGGGCAAGCTGACTCTCTGACTGGTGCCCCTCAGTCTGAACGTCATGAATTATTGACAACAGAGGCTGGATAGCGTGACGCTCCTCTTCCTCCTCCCCTGTTCAGAGCTATTGCATTGTGGGAACCCTTCCCAGCGCCCTACACCTGCGTGCGGGGTGGAGGTGGAGGGAGAGCCTGTGGGAGCACTGGAGCGGGGTTCTCAGGGCTCTTGGTTCAGAGGGACAGGCCTGCAGGGCCTATTTGATCTCCCTTCACCTCCTGCCCAGAGGTGGGCAGCCAGTTCCAGGGGCTGAGGTTGGGAGGAAGAGAGAGGGAGACCACACCCCAAAGAGTAAAGGGTTCTGGGGAAAGAGAATTCTGGCCCGGGTGCTCCGTGAACATCACATGGCCTCTCCTGGTCTGGGCAGGGTGGATATTTGGCCTCCAGGACCACTTCTTTTGGGAGATCACAGGGGACATTAGGGAGGGCATCTGTGAACAGAAAGGGTAGAGGGAAGACAGGAATGTGGGACTCTCCAGCTCCTACTCCTCATCAAGCTGGTTTGTTGGAGATGGGGATAGGAGATCTTTGGGGGAAATACATGTGTGTGTAGGAGTCTCTTTGAAATGGGAACTTTAATAGGCAGTGGGATTGTTCTTGTATGGAGGTGGTACCATCTGCAGATCTTGAGGAAATGCCTCCGTGATTGAGGCTACACTCCCATCTTCTTCAAGGGCTGACTGCGGGCCAGAAGGGGATTCGCCTGGGGTGGAGTTCAAGTCTTGCATTTTGCAATAGCCATCCCAGATTGGCCATTGACTCATGCATCGTTGACACAAGGCAGGGCTGGGCAGTGTGGGAGGGTTGTGTGACAACAGCAGCTTTGGTTGAACACTTACGAAGTGTCGGCAAGTGTTGGGTGCTTTTTATAAATTTTATTGAATATTTCTAATCCAGTGAGGCAGGCATTTTTATTTCCATATGTGAAATCAGAATGAGTCATGACAAGCTGACCCGCTGTCAATGTTGGGTAGCTACACTAAATTTTTCTGACGTTGTTGGAGAATGACAGTTTTCTTAGAAATTAATTTTCTCTGAATTGGAACTTTGCTTTCAGCACCAATGTGTTTTTGTTTAATCACTAAAATATCTATTCTTTAAATTATAAAAATAACACGTTCATGATTTTAAAAAGGGACAGAAGGTTATAAAGTGAAAAGTTAAAAAGTAACTCTTCTCTATGCTTCTTTTACCTGCTCCCCATATGGCTCTTGGTCTTGTGTATTTTTCCAGGAGTTTCCTATGCATTGACATGCATTTTTCTTTTAAAAATGTTTCCCTTGGGTAGAATGATACTATACATTCTGTCCTTCAAATTGCTTGCTTCTTTTCTTTCTTCCTTTTTCCCCCTTCTTTCTTTCGTTTCTTAAAATACATGCTTGGAGACCGTTCTGAGCGGTACACAATAGATCTGCTTTATTCTCTCTCTTCCTTTTAAAAATAGCTATACAGTACTCCATTGTGTGGCTATTCCATAATTTATGTAGCCAGTCTCCTACGGATGAGCATTTAGGAAGCTTCCAGTGTTTTGCTACTTCAAACAATGTTACAATGGACAACCTTGGATGTGTGTATATTTTGTGTTTGGTGCAAATACATTTGTGCCCTAGGTCAAATGTTTTAGATTGATGGCCATGGTCAAATTACCATGAAGAGATTAACCAGTTCTGATGGATTTGTTTTTCTAAGGTGAATTTACCTGCTGCCCTACCCTCTTCTACATAGTACACAGAGTGGTTAAACTTTGCTTGAGGGCATAAGCTCAGTGATAGGTGGCAGTGCACCCGGGCCTCCGAGGCTGGCAGCCCACAGGGATTGGTGGGGTCCACTGACCTGCAGCTCGCAGACCTGGGCGTACTCAGTTCCACCCACGTTTGTCATTGAGAATGCCAGCCCAGTGTTGCCAGATCTTAGGATTTTTAAACAGAAGATAGAAATCTGGATTTTAATATGAAATATTTGATTTTAAATGTTGGCAAGTAATTTACTAAAAAAAAAAAAGAAAACAAAACAGTGAATGGATCTGTAGGTGCCAGAGACTGGCACAGTCTCTGCCTATTTAAATGTAATGGATTATTAATTTTGTGAGATATTGCTCTATCTAGACTCTCATAACTCTACTGTATAGCTCATTCAATTTCTGTTTTTTCAGTTTTTTTCCAGATTGCCCTGTATTTAAGCAGCTGTTTGTGAACACCGTTTAGAAATCATCCATCCAGTCTTCGTACAGGTCCTTTTCAAGAACTCTGTACAGCAGCAGGCAAAAGAATCCTATAAGACAGGCATCAGCTTCTCTTTTCCCTCATACCCAGGACTGCTTTTTTCCGCAGGATTTGGGAAGGGGTGGTGGTGGTGGGGCGCATCCTCCAATCTATTTTCAGGTAGCAGCTGGCTCCATCTTGGGCCTCAGTGCTTTCTGCTGCTGGTCGCTGCTGGGAAGTCCAGGATCATAGTCCTTGCATGGTTTCCCTGTGGTCACTGAGATGCAGGCTGTGGGGCGGGGGCAAGATGAGGAAGGCCACACTTCCCCAGCTGCCTTATCCTTTATTCCTCACAATGCCATTGCACTGAGAAATTCACTAAAGATTTAGGGGTAGTGTGAATTACTATATAGGGGGACAAATCCCCCAAATAAGATACCTAATATGACTTCCCATTGGGTCCTTTATGGGCACAACCAAATTTCTGGTAATGTTTTCAAAATTGTGGTTTCCCCTTTTTCATCCCTCAGAGACAGTCCCTGTGGCAGACATGGAGATGCAGATAACAGCTCAGATCCTCCTTCTAGAAAGGACTTGTGCTGGCTGCTGGGAGCCTGATTAGCTGCCAGCCTCCAGCTGACAGTTAACTCCTTCTCAGGGTGGCCCCAGCCAGTGCACTGAGCAGGATGGTGGTACAAAGACCTCGTCATTTCCGCCGAACACGGGGTTCCTCTAAGGGGCTGTCTTTGCTCTGGAACATCCTCTTGCGCCTGCGTTTGTCAGACCTGCATCTCACCGTCTAATGGTTCCTCCTTCTCAGTCCTGCTTCCTCCCTTTTCCTTTCACAGGTGTTACTCTGACTAAACCTTTGGACTCGATGCCAGCCAGGCATCTGCTTTGCTGAGGACTCACTGTCAGTCTCCTTTCTTCAGCCTCTTCCCCCTCCCAGCACAACGAGGATGTTCTCCCAGAGGATCTGTCTTTCCCCCAAATCAGAGCATCAGGGCATTCTGAGGCAAGAATCCTAGCTCGACAGTTCCT